CATTTTAATTTTTCTTTTTTTTTAGTTTTTTTTTATAGAAATATCAATAAATATTTATTTGTTGGTTAAAAAAACTTGAAAATTTAATAGAAGGCTCCTAGTATATTGTTTCAGAGGCAGATGAAAAATATTAAAAATCGTTTGTCACAGTTTTTTTTATAAGCATTTAAAGTTCAAAAATTGACAAAATATGGAAAAATCACGAAAATTAGCAAATTATTTTGAGTTAAGAATTCGCAAAAATTTTTGTTTTTAAATCTAAGATTTGAAAATGTAATACAAGATTACTCATAAGTTTGTCTACCTTTATCAATAAAAAAATCTCTACCAGACAGTCAAATTAAATTTTTATGAGCGTTTGAAATTCAAATTTTTACAACATTGGATGTTCACTCGATTTCTCATGTAGCGATTTCCTTATTTTGTTGTTATTTATAAACGAATAACTATAGATACATGAAAATTTCACTGAATGTTTATATTAGCATTTCCTATACACCATACAATTTTGAAAATATTTCGACTCTTTTTGAGCTGTTTACGGATATTTTCATTTTTCTATTTTTTTAGTTTTTTTTTCTATGAATATCAATAAAGTTTTATCTATTGGGCCAAAAAGTGTAAAAATTTAATACAAGGCTCCTGATATATTATTACAATAGGAGTTGAAAAATATTAAAAATACATAGGCACAGTTTTTTTTTATAAGCATTTAAAGATCAAATTTTGACAAAATTTGTCAAAATCTCGAAAATTATCAATCATTGAAATTAATAAATTATAAAATGTTCAGTTTTTATAGCTAAGGATTGCAAATTTAAAACAAATGTTCTCATAAATAGTTCATACTGTAACCAAAAATCTAAAAAATATATAAACACACTTATTTTTTACAGACATTTTAATTTCAAATTTGGCGAAATTACACACGGCTTATTGAATCGGTTTACAGCAAAACTACCTATTATAAAAATTGTAGAGACGAATTTTTTTAACAATCTTAAGAAGCCCGTTTTTCGATATTTTTATTAATTAGTTGAATAATTAATGGATAAAAAGTTAAAAACCGTGTTAGTTTACCTACTTTACCTCACATTCTTACGAACCCCGTTACGAACTTCTTTCATTTTTTTTTTGTAAAGAAGTCTTACTCGATCGGGTTCCTTTCTTTACGACGGCGCGAATTTTTTTGGTGACATATTGACAAAACAAATTTGTCACAAAAAAAAATAAATATAGTTATGTTCAAGTGTATACAAGTTAAATAGGTACAATGTATAAAATAAAAAGGCCACTCTGATCTTGATTAATTACAATTAGGTATAAATTAGACGAGTATCGTAATATGTACTATTTAGTCATAGACAAGTCACAAGTATACAAGTATGTAGTAATCCCACAGCGTATCTTGTCATAAGGTGACCAAGATGAGACTGTCAATGGCACGACCAAGTGTAGCTTATAAAATATAAATAATTAATTTGTAATACCCATTGATTATATATACTATATTATTATAGTATGCTAGTAGGGCTATAGTCTATTTTCATTATTCAAGATAATAATATTATGTCTATCAAATTCTGATTATCGGAATTTTTATTTCTGTCACAATAATTCGTCGAGACGCCAGACGGCAGACGGTGCGGGCCGATAACGAAAAACGCGAGTGCTTGAATAGAGTAGGGGAAGCCACGTTGTGCTGTTTTACGCCACCAGGGAATATTTCGATAATAATTAGAAAAATTATTTTACAATAATTTCACATGCCAAAAATTGTTTTGCGCGGGACAACTTTACTCCTTCAATATTAGCAAAAAAATTACCAAAATTTTACATCCCTATAAAGAAGAAATTTATCTGTGTCGTAGCGTCGTTATTTTTTTGATAACACTACCCAATAATTTTTAATAATTAATTGAAAAATACAAAAAAACCTAATGTTCTCAAACCAATAACTTTAATCGTATTTATGTTATCCAAAAAATAAAAACGCTACGACATAGATAAAATTCTTCTCTATGTGTTGTAAAATTTTGGTTATTCTATTATAGTTATGATGCGAGAAAAGTTGTCCCGCGCGAAACAGTTTTTACAACCGAATTACGAGTGGTGTGGCGTCCTCTTAACTTCGGCATTTTCTTCTCCAAGTTCGGTAGAAGACATTATACTTGGAGAATAAAAATAAACTTCGAGTATAACTGTGTACTTAAGTTATTATAACAGCACCAAAAAAAATGAATAGTTATGACTTATGGTATAGGTATATTATATTACAAAATAAGTATCGGCACTTGGTACTATAACGCATTAACGCATTTACACATTGACGAATGACTAAATTTACTGTTGGAACTTGGAACCCTCATAGTCACACACTCACACCAGTTGACACGCTACTACATAAGCTGATAATATATAATATAGAGACGTATAAAGTTGACAACAATTAATTCTTATATATTATTTTCTTTACATCCCAATATAATATTATAAGAATGTAGAGTGTAGTTTGTAGAAAACCTGAAAACACGGCATAAGTATCACCATATCAGAAATTACTAATTAGGTCCGTTCTGGAAATTGTATTATTATTTATTAGTTATTAGTGTTATTACTTACCTATCAATGTACACAATACATTATTAAGTAGTATCAATGTAACATACATCTTAATTCTTAAATCTTAATCGTTGTCATTTCATAGAAAATATAAACTTCCTAGTTATATTCCAAATAAGTAATAAATAAATAATAATAATCACTATTCACTATAATAGTATAATACTAGATATACATATACCCGGCCCGTCGCGGTTCTCAGAAATATCAATGCAAATAATATACAGTTCATAAATCACATAAATCATAATAGGAAAATTCGTAAATAACTTTTTACAAATAACTTTCATTTTAACAAAATAACTAAGTTAAGTTACAATTATTTATAAAAAGAAATAACTTAGTTACTGACTGAGTTATTTTCTACATTCTATTTTTTTTTTAACTAGTTAAGTTAAAAGTTATCAAAAAAAGTAACTTTTAACTTAACTTTTAACTTTTTAACTAGTTACTGCCCAGCTTTGATTTCTAACCACAAGATAGCAGTAAAAGATTCTTCACGAAATATTATAAGGTCGCCTAAACGCGAAGCCACGACATAGCACTATACACGACACCCATACGACGCCTAACGTATACGCGCGCGTATAATATCGATTTATTTCGGGTTCTAAATTTATATGAGTATAAAATATCCGAAATCGTGATGCCATTATTCCAAAAGCGTTTTCTACTACGCGTCTGGCGCAAGATAATCTGTAATTTATAATTTTTCTTTCATGCGATGTTAAATCGGCCTGCCGAAACGGTTTTATCATGTCGGGGCGTAATGGAAACGCATCGTCTGCCACAAATACATATGGCAAAGTTCGGTTGGTTCCTGTTAACGTTTCACTGCTTGGTATATGTAATTCACCATTTTCTAATTTTTCAAAAAATTTAGTATTTTGTAATACCCCTCCATCAGACATTCTACCATTCATGCCAACATCGATGTACATGAATTGATATTTTGCATTAACAATTGCCATAAGAACTAGACTATGATGTACTTTATAATTAAAATAATACGATCCACTATTAGCCGGTGGAACAATCGTTGTGTGCTTCCCATCTATTGCACCCAGACAATGAGGGAAGTTCCATCTTTCTTCATACATCTTTGCTACGCTTTTCCATTCTTCTTCAGATGTAGGAAACTGAAATAAAAGAAAACAGCTATTATCTTATTTGTCCTAGCATAAAAACTAGCTTAAACTAGCTTGTAAAATAAATTAACACATAGTTTGTTTTTAGGGACATTTAGATCAACAAAATTCACCTAACGGTGAAACAGTTAACAGTGAAACAACTAATAATAACGAGGTCCAATCAAGATCATCAAATAATTATTCATCACGCCCACCAAAACCGGATAAAGCAAAAAGAAAAGATGAATCCATAAGAAATGAATTATTAGAATCTGTACGAGATCATTTTAAACGTCCTCGTGAAAAAACAGAAGACCGCTGTGATGTTATTGCCAAAAATATTGCGATGAAACTGAGGGCTTTAGATGCAACTAACCTGTGTGTCGTAGAAAAGCTTATAAATGATCTACTGTTTGAAGCAGAAATAGGACACCTCACACCCGATCACGCCTATATTAACATGAGAGATATTTTGAGGCAACATCAACGAAGCTATGTTCCTGCTCAGCAATATCAACAACAGGTTCATTATCAATCATCTCCTATTTTCAATGAGTCATATGCCCCAAGTTTTGTTTCTTCAGGAAGTCCTAGCCCACCTTGTTTTCCTTTACAGTCTGGTCAACATTCACAGCATAGATCTCAATTATTACCACCTAGCCATATAAACAACAGTCAACAAGCCGATACCTACTCTATAGAAATGCAAACACCTACAATTAAAGTCTATCACGATGAAACAGTGGCAGTTCCATCGAATCCAGGTTCTACAGCGACATTTATCAATAATTTCAACCCTGATTTGGTATAATTTGTACAGTTACGGTTTGTACGGTTTTTGTTTTTATTTTAATTTTTTTTTGTTAATTTTCATATAATTTTATTATAATATCATAATATATATTATAGAAAGTACTATAATAAATCAATAAGATTGTTTTAATTACTCAGCTGGTAAAATTTGTACGCAAAGGTTAAGTTTTTGTTTTTATTTTAATTTTTTTTTGTTAATTTTCATATAATTTTATTATAATATCATAATATATATATTATAGAAAATACTATAATAAATCAATAAGATTGTTTTAATTACTCACCTTCAGATAATCTCTTCTTAGAACTTGATACAAGGCCTGACATGTTTCACGAATAATTTTCCCTAGCGCTTGAGGTGAAATAGCTGATGAAAATTTAAGGTCCTCATAACTCCTGCCGGTAGCGAGGAACCTCAAAGTAACCGATAATCTTTCATGCGCAGAAATACTTTTTCTCATAACAGTGTCTTCTTTTTTTTATCATAGGAGTCACCATTGAAAGTAATTCAAGGTATGTTTTTTCGTCCATTCTGAGATAGTTTTTAAAATCTTCAGGTTCAAATTTTAATTCATTTAATAAGTTTACATGACTATAAGTAGCTCTTTTTAATAACCAATCCTTACACCACTTTTTTCGTTTCCTTTTCACTGGTTTTGTTTCTTTTTTTTTCATAATTAACGCGAGGGCTAACAAAGCTAGTGCGTACTCGTCCGATGCCATCATGAAAAAACTGAAGACCTCTCCGGTACACCGGAGACACGAACGACGTCCGGTATACCTCTCCGGTAGACCGTAACGTGTATGGCCGGCATAACGTATAGACGCGCGTGGTTTTTGATTTTTCCGGCAGTTTTCCGGAAGGAGTCGAAGGACCTAACATAGATATTCGGAAAGCCAGGAAAATTTACTATTCGACGAGATAAAATTCAAGAGCTCCCTGGCTTTTCAAGTAACCGTACTTAGTAAACGAAATCGCCAGGTGACTATTTTGGTGAGTGCTTATATTTTGTATTTCTGTGTTGTACGTATTTTTAGCCACCATAGCTGGCGGCTTCCAAAAATTATTAATGATGATTTAGTGTAAATATAATAGAGTATGAATTATACTTACACTGTATGAGATTTTCATTTAATTATTGTCTGTCTTATCTTTAGTGGTATTGGACTGTGCATGTTAGTAGTATATTTTTACATGTTTTGTGTTGAATGTGTGTTGATGTTTATCATTTTTTTTCTTTATTTCTTAAGTGTTAGACTAATATATAATGTAATTTTTTTGTTATTGAATTGTTGAATTCCATTTTAAGCCAAGGAAATGCTAGTTAAGTTAAAGATATTTTATTGCTGCTATATGATGTTTTAATTATGTGCCATCTTGTGGTGAATTATACTATCTTTATGCAATTTTATTGATATAGATGCTAATTTTGAATAGTATAGTGTTAACGGAACATATTTATGATTCACATAATAATGTAACTTTTTATAGAAATACATAACGTATAGTAAAAAGGTATTGTCGTATATGTAGACAGTCGTCACTATAATTACATATAATATAGGTGGGAACATTTTTATTATAAATTATTAACATAGGTCAGGCCAATGAAGCAAGATGTGCTGAGGCAGCAATAATTATTTTGCTATATAACACCACCGGACGCCAGGGCTTGAAACCGAAAAAAAATTTTCCGGTTTCGGTTTCGGTTTCGGATACCGGTTTTGATTTTTTCCGATTTCGGTTTCGGTTTCGGATACCGGTTTCAATTTTTTCCGATTTCGGTTTCGGTTTCGGATACCGGTATTGACTTTTTTCGATTTCGGTTTCGGATACCGGTATCGATTTTTTCCGATTTTCGGTTTCGGTTTCAGATACCGGTATTGATTTTTTCCGATTTCGGTTTCGGATACCGGTATTGAATTTTTTCGATTTCGGTTTCGGTTTCGGTTTCGGATACCGGTATTCATTTTTTCCGTTTCTATTTCGGTTTTTAACGGTTTTAACCGGTATTCAAAATCAGTATCGAATATCGGTTTTAATCCTTGTAATTATAATAATTTATAATGACATAAAATACTGGCGTAGGAACCTACTCGCCAAACATTGAGTGGCGTACGATTTAGCGTCTGGTTGCCTGACAAGTACTATAGTATTTGCAATCAATGATAATATTTACAATGGAATGAATAGGTACGTAATAATTACGTATTTAGTTATAGCCTCTCCACTTCATAACACATTTTCCAAATGATTTGCGACCTAATTGCGGCCCGCGGACGCCGGGCTTTGGCCAAATCGCCGCCGGCGACAAAAAGTCGTCTTTGCCGTGTGCTCGTTGCGTGCAGACCTGTCATGCGTCTTTGCCGCACGCTCCATGCGAGCAGACCGTGATCGATACCATTTTAGCAACAAGTTCGCTGCCATCTGTAGCGACGAGTTCGCTGTCATTTCGCGACGAGTTCGCTGTCTTTTCGCGACGAGTTCGTGGTCCGTGTAATCCGTGCGTTTATTTATTATTCGTTTAGCGACGAGTTCGCTTCCGTTGCGACCACCTCGTGGTTGTTATAGATCTTATTACCCGCGAAGTTATAAACGTTAGGTACGGTGTGTTAGCCGACGGTCGTGTCCGCCACCGTGCTTGCGTTTCGCTATTATTATCATTCGTCTTCGACGTCGTTCCGATCATCATCGACCTGTTGTCCGTTGTGCGACTGCTATTCATTGTCGCGTGTTCGCCGCCGACATTCGCGCCCGTTGTTATTACTTCGTGTCGGATCATCAGTTGTCGTCTGATTCCGACGGGCCATAATTCGTGCCGCGACCGGCAACTCGGATATCGTTCGCCGTTGCTATTATCATTGTGTGCGTAAGTCCCTCGTGCGACGCCGCCTTCATTGCCGTGATTACATCACCGTGCGTCTTAAGGTACGTTTTCCAAGGCGCGACATGTCGCCGCGACCGACCATCGCGACTTGTGGTCGCGACGCATTTTTTCTGTTGTGTTTTACTAAACGCGACATGTCGCGGCGATTTTGGTAACTAGTAGCTACAAAGAACATAATGTTCATTGTTCAGTTCACTCACCAACCTGTCCACATACAGACGCGTGTGTGATTTTAATTATAATTAATACAGTTTTGTTTTAATCATTATGGAGATGTATATTAATAATAATGACATTTTGACTTTATTATTGGAAGAAGAAGATGAAGAAGATTTTATATTTTCCTATCTAAAACCAAAAAAAAAGCGAACAGATGATATGTTCAAGTACCGCGATACAGAAGGTTTTTACGAAGTGTTAGTTAATAGGCATTTAAAAAATAATAACATAAAATTTCGTGAATTTTTTCGTGTCAATATTCAACAGTTTGATTTTTTACTTTCTATGGTTGAAAACGAAATAACTTTACCACCAAGTAATAGAAATAAAAAACCAATTTCACCAGCAGAAAAGTTAGCGATCACACTAAGGTAAATTTAAAATTTTAATAAATTACACGTACAATTATTTAACTGGTTCTGTTTACATTTTAATTTTTAATAGATATCTAGCTACTGGTGAGTCAATGCGTTCACTATCGTTTGGATTTCGCGTCAACTATAGTTATATAAGTGTGATAATCAAAATAACGTTAGCTGCTTTAAAAACGAAATTAATTCCAATTTTTATGCCTGACACAAAAACTATTAACTTTATGTCAAAAGCAGCTGAATTTTCTTACAAATGGAATTTTCCAAATTGTATTTCGGCTATTGATGGAAAACATATACGAATTCGATGTCCCAGTAAATCGGGATCACTATATCGTAATTATAAAGATTTTTTCTCTATAGTGCTTCTGGCAATGGTAGATGCCAATTATAAATTTATCGCAGTTGATATCGGCTCTTTCGGAAAAGAAGGGGATAGCGGGATTTTTTTGAAATCGAATATGGGAAAACAAATACTTAATCGCTCATTCGGCTTTCCAGAAGAATGTGCACTTCCCGGGTCAAATAAAGTAGTGCCTCATGTCATTGTGGGTGACGAAGCTTTTCGTTTGGATAAGCATATTATGAAACCCTACACAAAAAAAACGGCTACAGCCGATAAAACGAAAGCTATTTTCAACTACAGATTGAGCCGTGCACGTAGAGTAACAGAAAATGCTTTTGGCTTATTAAGCCAAGTATTCAGAATTTTCTACCAACCTATACATTTAAAAACAAGTACATGTGATGATCTTATATGGGTGACTTGCTGTTTACATAATATGCTCAGAGAAGGATATCTGGAGAAAAATAAAAATCCCTATTATGAATATGAACCGGAACAAACGCCTCCTACTGACAATATAATTTCATTTTCACGATCTGGCGGTTTCTCAAATGCAGAAGGTTTTGGTGTAAGAGAAACATTCAAATCATTTTTTAACAATGAAGGAGCAGTATCGTGGCAAAATGATTTATAACTAATTACTTTAATGTTTAAATTTGTTTACATATATTTAAAAAAAACTACCAGTTTTATTTCATCAAGTACGTAATCTTTACTAAGTATCTACATTCTGATATATTATATATAGTATATATTTTTATTATTATTACCTGTTTATATTTTACTTATCATTGAAAAAAAAAATAAAAATAATATCTACCAACTATTGTACGAAATAACATGTATTATTCCATAAAATAAACAATATTTTTAAATCATTAGTAAATATTTTTTATATTAAAATAGTTTAGACGGAATGTGAAGATGATGAGGTTGATGAATAGTTTGAAATTGAGAAATTGGTTGTTCTTGTACTAAATATTTTTCCTCCAACTCGGTCATTAATGCAAATATTTTTTTTTTTGCTTCAATTCTTCCCTTACTCGGAAATTTTTTAGCTGTTATAGCTAAACCTCTGAAAAACATGTCAATTTCGTCTAATTTTTCTTCCTCCCTCGTTAAAAGTTGCTCATTGCGTGCTTGTATTTTTTTAATCAATTCATTTCGTTCGTTTGATCGTTGAAGATATTGTGCAGGTATAAATTTAGATTTTTTAGTTGGCGGTATTTCAGTCGATAAACTATTTTCTCTGTCACTAAAAACTTCGTCATTTTTTTCTTGATCGTGAGTGGTAACCATTTCTTGAACCTCAGTGACGTTGGAAGTTGATCTATTAATTTAAAATAATATAAATAAAATATTCTTAACATTTTAAAATTGTTTTGGTTTTTAATTTTGTTTATTTTAGTGTGGGCATTTATTATTTCCTTGAAATGACGACGACGAGTCTATAAATATTATTAAAAATATTATTTAAAAACATTATTTTTGTACTTCATAACTAACAGGATTACAACTGTTTTATTTTTAAGTTTGTATAGGATAAATAAAATAAAGTTGTGTTATGATGTTTGATAGATTATCACTTTTTAGGTACGTATATTTTACTAAAATATTTTAAGTTGACAGAATTTTAAAATAGTTTTGCTCCTATTATACATTTAACAATCAACTGTCAACTTGTCAATATTCTTATCTTGTCTAGACAGTGGCTATGCACGTAACATTGTTACTCTCTTGAACTTTTTTTTTTTTTTTTTTTTTATTGAACAAAAAAAAAATATTATTTACAATCTATAATTACATGTATTACAATAAGTAAATGGGATGGGGATGATTAGCGGGAGGGGGAAGTCACCCAGTGGCGGCACCCCGAATCTTGAACTTTTATGAATTAATAATATTTAATAATGTGCATAAATCGGGGTAAAACGGATTAAATATCCATTATTACTTACGCTCCCTCATATTCAACTCGATCCAGAAAACCAAGGTGAGGTGCCAAGTTCCATTTTTTTTTAGTCGCTGCTGATCCTGTTTCCGGCTTTCTCTTATTTCTGGAATATGAATCACGAATATTCTTCCAGCGCTTTTTTGTATCGTCTACTAAATTATCAAATTGCGTTCAAGTAATTACATAAAAATTGTTAATTTTTTTAATAATCGAAAAGACTGAAATTTTTTATTTACCAGATTTTCCAATCTTGAGGGATATTTCCGTCCAGATACTATCCTTCATTATAATGTTTTTGTAATTAGCATCGGCCAAATCATACAAAATAGAATTGGCCTGTACTTCTTGAATAAGAATTTCATCCTCCGATGGAGAAAAAACTAATTTTGACGCCATATGATAAATTTGTATAGACAAATTCGACAAATCCGACAAATAAGACCATAGGGTCGTCACGACATGTCGCGCGGTACTGATCTATGAGCAGTAGTGTCGTCGGTCGCGGCGACCCAAAGTTCAGTCGCCGCGACCTGTCGCGTCTTGCAAAACAGTTGATACTATTTTCCTATTAACAGATATTGACGACATGTCGCGGCGACAGGTCGCGCCTTGGAAAACATACCTTTAAGGTACGGTTTCCTAGACGCGACCGGTCGCCGAGACAGGTCGCCGCGATCGGTCGCTATAACCTGTCGTTGGCGCGTGCTGGTTTCCCAGGCGCGACTGGTCGCCGAGACCAGTCTCCGGTGACGTAAAAAAAACTATCAAATTCTATATCTGTAATCAGTATCATTGTGGCTTTCGTGCAGTGAGTGCTAGTGTTTTCAAGTTAAATTTTATATTTATTATGAGTATGAATACAATTATTAACAATAATAAAATTATGTTACTTCTTCTCGAGGAAGAGGAAGAGGACGATGAGTTATTAATCACAACACAATCAGAACAGAGAGAAAAAGTTGATGCACTTTTTCTTAATAGGAAAGCTGAAGGATACTTTGAAATTTTAATAAGTAGACATTTAATAGGAAATGAAACAAAATTTCGCGAGTTTTTACGTGTTAATAAAAACCAATTTGATTTCCTGTTATCACTTGTCGAGGTACAATTAACAAAATTGCCTAGCAACCGAGTGAAGAAACCGATAACAGCCGCAGAAAAATTGGCATTGACATTAAGGTATTTTAATAGTATTTAGATATTTATAGTATTTTTATTTACACTTATCACATTTATTTTAACCACACTAAAAACTGGATGTATCACCATATTTTTATTTTTTATTTTGTAGGTACATGGCAACTGGGGAATCGTTTCGATCACTGGCCTTTGGTTTTCGAGTATGTCATAGCTACATCAGTATAATAATAAAGCAGACCTTGTCAGTTTTAAAAGAAAAGTTAGTTCCAGTTTTCTTACCGGATTCATCTCAAATTGATTTTAAAAAAAAGGCTGATGAATTTTCCTATAAGTGGAACTTTCCTAATTGCATACTTGCCATTGATGGTAAACACGTACGTATTCGAAGTCCACACAATTCGGGGTCTCTATACTTTAATTATAAAGATTTTTTTTCAATCGTTCTCTTGGCAATGGTTGATGCAAATTATAAATTCGTCATTGTTGATATTGGCTCTTATGGGAAAGAAGGCGATAGTAGCATTTTTCTTAAATCTCTTATTGGTCAACAAATTTTAAATGGGTCATTTAGATTCCCTGAAGAAAGTTCACTTCCAGGTTCAAACATTGTTGTGCCTCACGTTATTATTGGAGATGAAGCATTTCGCTTGCACCCAAATATAATGAAGCCATATTCTAGAAAATCTAGTATGGGAGATGCCTCTAAAAAAATATTTAATTATAGATTAAGTAGAGCAAGGCGTGTCACTGAAAATGCATTTGGTTTATTGAGCCAAGTATTCCGTGTTTTTTACCAACCAATTAATATTGAAAGTACAACATGTGACAACTTAATATGGGTAGCTTGTTGTTTACACAACATGTTAAGGGATGGATATTTAGAAGACAACAGACAGCCGCATTACGAATATGACTGTGAACAAACTTTGCCAACGGGCAACATGCTGGAATTAAATCGAGTAGGAGGATTTTTTAATATGCAAGGATTTGAAGTGAGGGATCGATTTAAACATTTTTTCAACCATGAAGGAGCATTAAATTGGCAGAACAACACAATATTTTAAATTTATTATTTACTAATACTATTATTTGATTATGATTTCAATGAACTTGTATATTATTTTATTAACAATTTATTAATTTAATTTTACAAAGTTGTGTTTTTTCTAATTATTAAATTATTATTATTACATCATTACTTTAATATTACATTATTAATTATTTTATTATCATTTAAATTAATTATTGTTTATGTTACTCATTGTGAAATTGTACGTCATTTTGTATTCCTAAGTCGCTTGACCTGAAAAAAGAAGTGGAAACTGTTGCTTGTGGTTGAAATAAATCTGGTGAGGTCGTACTTTGATTATCTGGCATACTGTATGCAATTGATGATGGTGAACTAGTACTAGAATATTCATAGTTATTGTAAGTTTGAATAGGCAAAAAAGTACTTGAAGGTGTTGCTGAAATTGCACTATATTTGTCCTCAAGTTCGTTAACCATAATTAATGCCTTTAGTTTGGCTTCTTTTATGGCTGCCTGTGGCAGTTTTTTAACACTTAATGCCAAACTTTTAAAAAATAAATCGATATCATCATCTTTGTGTTTTTCTGCATTTAAGATTAGTTGATTTTGTTCTTCAATTCGTTTAAATGTCCTGTTTCTTTCTTCTGCCCTTTTTGTCACTAACGCTGATAGCTTGTCTACTTTAGACCGTGCACGCTTATCTACTAGGGAACATCCAGGGGAATCTTTATCCTGGAGTGGTAAAACGCCCAAATCTCCATCAATGGCCACATCTTCTTCGACATTGTCTTCCTCGCTCTGTGGTATGATGTTGCAAGTAGAACTAATGAAAATATTTATTATTATTATTAATATTAATATTATTAGGTAGGTATATAAGTATGCTTTTGATACATTTTATTAAAAAAAAATTTGTATAGATACCTCCGTTCGTTTTGAACTGTATTTAGAAAAGATGCACGATCTGCTGAAGGTAAACATTTTTTCGCTGAAGTTGCAGACCCGGTGCCGAGTTTTCTTTTGCAGCGATTGTGTGAATCGCGTATATACTTCCATTTTTTTTTGCAGTCGTCAACTAAAATAATATAAAATACTACATAATAATATTAAAATAATAATAAGTTAGTTGGATACTATACAGACTTAAGATAAGATATTAAAATTGTGCACGTGTCGGTTCTATATTATTACTATATATTATATATATTATATAGATAAGCCATAGTATTTTATCTTATCGGTTCAGTCATTGAAATGACTAAAATATACTATTTATACATATATTATATTATATTACATATCTTAGTCCGTAGCAATAATACAACTTTACTATAGACAGTGATTCACAACATTTTTCTAAAATACAAACTACAAAAATATTAAATGAAATGCAGTTATTTTTTTTTCATTACATTTTTATATTCCCTAAAATATTTTGCCGCCCCTGAAACATGGCGCCTCCAGGCATTTGCCTACCCGTGCCCCCCCTAAATACGGGCCTGAGTAAGGTACATATTATTATTATGAATAGTAATAATATTATATTAAGTTAATTTGAAACAAAAACACTTTCCCAAGGCAAAAAATTGTATCTACGCCATTGTATTGTATTAAATTAATCTTATTGCTAGATTATATATTATGTTATAGATAAATATTACATACCAGATTTCCCGATGGTGTTAGCAATATCTAACCAAATACTATCTTTATGTTCTGCATCTTTATATTTGTTGTGTGACAGATCAAACAACTCAACATTTTTTCGAACCAATTCGATGAGTTGTTCTTCTTCTTCTCCCGAAAAATGCAATTTAGCCATATTCATGCACGTGATGATCGAAATTCACTACCCAAAAGTTGGTTTGTGACTAAAAAAAATCGACGGTCGCGCGCATCGGTCGCAATACACTGCTCTCGGACCGGTAGTGTCGCCGGTCGCCACGATAAAGTTCAGTCGCGCGACAACAGTCGTGCGTTGGAAACCAGATAATAGGAATTACATATTAACAGTCGGACGGCGACTGTCGCAGCGACCTGTCTCGGCGACCGGTCGCGTCTAGGAAACCGTACCTTTACAGAATCCGGTCGGAGCCGCCGTCAATAGCCGCCGCCGTCCCCCCGTTCACCTGCGTGTCATCACCATCGTCGCCGCGGCCGCTGCAGTCACCGTCGCCGCCGATACACCAACCCGCCGCGGCGCATGTGCCGTACGGTATTTAATTATTATTGTCATTGTCATTTATTATTATTCACATTTATGTACGTTCGTGTTGCAATAGATACCCATTATTATTATTACTACAACATTGGCGTTCTATTATTTATATCGGTCACCCTATCCACCCCAACTCGTGAACACCATTTTCTTTTATTTAAGTAGTTGCCCGGCCAAATGCTAGTGAATAGCCGGCAGCCCAAACACTTATATAATAATAAATTATGTAAAATCCTGAATGACAATAATTCATTAAGTTATTCAATTTTAAATTACATCAAAATAACAAAATCGCTACATGAGAAATCTAGTGAATATTCAATCTTGCACAAAAATTGAACTTCAAACGCTCAAAAAATTTTATTTGATTTGCTTGTAGACATTTCTTTTTTTGATTAAGGTAGACAAACTTATGAGGAATCTTGTATTGCATTTTAAAGCTATTTGACCCAACGAAACTAATTTCATTGTCATCTATAGAGAAAATACCTAAAAAAGTGGACCTAAAAAACCAAGTTAAAATATTTTGAAAATGTTATCGTGTATAGCAAAATATGCTAATATAAGCAACCAGTGAAAATGTCATGATTTGTAGTAATAGTTTTTACTTTTTAGTCGTCGTCGTAGTCTCCAGGTCTTCGTTATTATTGTGTACCTAGTACCTACACTGCGTAAGACCTCGCATAATATTGTAAACGTAATATCTTGAAAAATCAAGTTAAATCGTGACTCAATTGTTATTTATTATTATAATCTACAGTCCACAATAAGAGTAAAATTACTTTAGCATTACCGGCGGATTTATGGTACCAACCATAATACGAAACTCATAGGTACTCGATGCCTACTCGAAAAAGGCCCAAAAATATTCGAGGGATATAACCAGGGGCGGATTGGACCAACGGGAATTCGCGGGAGTTTTCCCGTTAGGCCACTTTTTCAAATAACTATGTATATTAAAATTAAAATTCTTAAATGCCTATTAGGTACGCATTTTTTTTCCGATTTTTCAAAATACGATAATACGAATTGGATTGTGGACAGTATGCAACAGTATATCAGGTAGGTAATCTACCTACGTGGATTGCAGACGGTATACTACCAAAAAGTCCTAGGAAAAAAAGGCCGAGTAAAAAAGTCCGTGGTTAAAAAGTCTGAGGTATAAAAAGATCGTGGTTAAAAAGTCCGAGGTACTTTTTTGGCTTAGGACTTATTGACGACGGACTTTTTATGCCTCGGACTTTTTTACCCGGACTTTTTTTCCTAGGACTTTTTTACTTCGGACTTTTTTACGATTCAGTACAGACACAACGATGAGTGACAGAAAGCAAAAATATAGTATTTTTCGAAAAGCAGAAACAGCAAATGTAATATATAGCATTTTTTTAGAAAATAAAAAGATACACATAGATTTTGCGTGTTGATTCTGTTCATTTACCTATCAGGTATATTAAGTGGAAGTAAATTATAAGCTCTTATTTAATTATAAAAGCGCATTATTAAATATTATTGAATAGGTAATAACCTTTCTTATTAAACACAAAAATCGTAAAATTAGTACTTTAAATTATTCACTTTTACTGTGTTATATAGGTAGGTACCTATAAGTAATTATAAGTACTATTATAAATGTGTAAACATAAACTGTTCAAAAATAAAAATAAATTTGATATCGATGTGTATATACTACGAATAAAGTTTTATATAAATTAAATATCTCGCCAAATGTGTTAAAAAAATTGTAGTTATGTTAAAATAGTAATACATAATTATACTGTGTTGGCTAAAATTAAATATTTGGTAAATTAGTAAGTGGGCAGTTATTCTTTGTATTTCCCCGGGCCGAAATCTCACCCCGATCCGCCACCAGCGTTCGCGTTGTTACTAATTTAAGTTTTAACCATGTAATGTAGGAATCATTAACCGTTTTTAGGTTTTTTGAAAAATATATTCCCTATTTTAAGTATATAGTATCATTTCATGAATGGATTTCTAAGTTTGGTACAGTCATAAAAGTTAATATTACTTTCTATTGGAAAATCTATAAATTACTAGGAAAATAAATAATTAAACACCGCTTTGATACAATTATTATTAGTATTCAATGATTACCACTTAAATGCAAATAAGATAGCCAGCATCTACTAGTTGCATTACATAGGTAAATCATTTTTAAATAATTTTATAATATTATTTAGATGTGTAAAAAAAGGTATTGAATCATATACAAAACAAATTAAATCATAAGTTTAAATTTTTTTGAAAAGTTTCAACAAGTCAGTGAAAACATGACATTTTACATCTCTGGCTAGGGAAAGGTATAAATGAGTATGTTTTATGTAGTTTTTATTAATATGTTTTATAACTTACAAATGAATACAAAGATACAAAGATACAAAGATACAAAAAGAGTGCTGAGATGCATAACGGTTGACGGTGCGCGCGTGTGTGTACATAATAATAATAATAATAATATCAGTGTTGACAACTACAACATCTCTCTTTTTCTTACAAATATAATTGAATACAATATTACATAGTATTTAATGTTATAATACAAAATTATTAGTAATACAGTTTGAATATGATGATAATAATAATAATAATACAACACATAATATAATGATCATAATAATAGTACAGTTTGACAGGTATATAATAGGTTACATTGGTTTTAATGGTTTATGCTAAATTACATTACAAAATTTTTAAATCTGTTAGGTACTTTTTTTTTCTTATGGGTCTGGTTGATAGTTCTTTCACCAAGACACTTTTGTTAGACTTATTTTTCACTTTTGATTTCCCCTCTATGTTTCCCTCCTTACTGTTTCCTGTAACATTAATTTTAGTATTTTTTAAGTGTTTAGTATTTCTTCTGATAATTGTACCATTATTGTTTTCAACAAGGTATGATCTGGGTGTATTTGCCTTAGCTATGACCTTCCCCGGTAACCACACTTTATTATTTTGTATTAATATATTTGTATTAGGTTTAAATTGTGTTTCTTTTTTGGTAGCTGTTTTGTCATAATTGGATTTGTATTTTTGCTGGAATGCTTTTAGTTTAGTTTGTACTTTATGTTGGAGTCTGGGTTCTAATAATTTGTTAGCTATTGGTAATTTAGTTCTTAAAATCCTACTGAATAATAGTTCTGCTGGAGATGCTTGCAGACTGATTATTGGGGTGCATCTATATTCTAGAAGCATTGCCTCTACATCACATCCTTCTTCTAGGGCTTTTTTAAGTAATTTTTTACTAGTTTGTACTGTCCTTTCAGCTAGGCCATTGCTTTGTGGGTAATGGGGACTAGATGTAACAACTGTGAAATTCCAAGTTTTAGAAAAAGTTATGAATTCACTTGAGTTAAACGGCATATTGTCAGCTATGAAGGTTTTTGGTATACCATGTGTACTAAATATTTGTTTACTTTTTTTAATTATTTCACTAGCAGTCTTGTATTTTAATTTAATTAAATCAAACCATTTTGAGTAATAGTCAACAATAACTAAATAGTCTGTACCCTCAAAGGATAGAATATCTGCTCCTACCTTTTCATACGGGTAATTTGGAACTTCATGAGGAATTAGAGGGCTTTTTTTATTTGAATTTTGAAATTTATTGCAAGTGTTGCAATTATTTATAAATTGTTCAATTTCATTAAACATCCCCGGCCAATAAATAATTTGTTTTGCTCTTAATTTTGTTTTATTTAATCCTAAATGGCTTTCATGTAGCAGTTTAAGTATGAGGGGCCTTAGCTTAGTAGGAATCACTATTTTATCTGCGACATATATTATACCATTTTCAATAATTATTTCGTTTCTTAAGTTATAGTATAGCTGCACTGATTTATCTATGTGTTTCCTATTTGGCCAACCTTGGTAATAGTACTCGATTATCTTATTAAGAACTGGGTCTAATTCAGATTCTGTTTTAATATTTAGAAGATTATTGTTGTAAAATCTATTTATACAATGCACCGTAGCCCCAGTATCAAATTCCTCTGTAAAGGTCTCTTGCATGTAGTCTCTAGATAATAGATCTGCTATATGCATTTTTTTTCCTGGCAGGTATTTTAATCTAATGTCATACTCTAATAGTTTTAGTCTCATTTTCTGTAAGCGATTTGATGGTATTTTTATTACATCCTTTTGCATGATTGACACTAAAGGCTTATGATCAGTTAGTGCATTTATTGTGCGACCAAAGATATAGTAATGAAATTTCCTACATGCAAATATTAAGCTAAGAAATTCTTTCTCGATTTGTGCATACGATATTTCGGTTTCTGACATGCTACGTGAAGCAAAAGCTATGGGTTTTTTGTCCTGGAGAAGACAACATCCCAACCCGTCCTTTGAAGCATCACATTGAATGGTTATTTCTTTATCTGGATTAAAGTGTGTTAGTATTGGTGATGTTGTTACAAGTTCCTTTAATTCTTTTAGAGCTAAGTGATGTCTCTTTTCCCATACCCATATTGTGTCTTTTTTTAGTAACTCTCTGAGAGGACTGATAATTTTGGACATATTTGGTATGAATTCTCTAAGGTAGTTGAACATGCCTATTAATCTTTGTAATTCTACTCTCGATGTAGGTTCCT